TTTGCATTATTGATGTATAAATATTAAATCGATACTTTATCTACTAATAATAACCCATTTGTATAATTATTATTTATGTGAAATTATATTTGGTCTATACTTTGAACTCTAACTATAATTTGATAAATCATTGAGTTAAATAAAAACGATGATCCGATCTGTTTAAGTCGCCAGACACTTGCTGTTTCTACTCCGTTACCCACATTTATATTATCTTTATAAATTTACTACATCAAAACGTGTGAAGAGTGTTTAATGAAAATCCAACAATCAAATATATACCAATGCAATACAACTGATACGTCAGATTCCTCGATTAATCAGAACTTTTAATTTTTAAACATGCAAATACATATTAAAAATACGTACTTTCTGATAGGTAATATAATAATTAATAATACATTTATTGATTATTAATTTTTATTATTCTTTTATGATAGCAATTCAAACGAGTCGTAATCTATCGAAAATAGTTGGCTTAATTCATTCACAGAATATACACGAAAAAATAGAAATATTATAACGTGGTAGCTAGTCCATTTCTGTCAAAAATGAGTTTTCAACCAAATGCTTTTGACGGTGATAAACATGGTGGGAAAGTCCCATCTGCATACACACATTATCTTAGTACACACTTAGTATAGGTACAATCGTATGGTAAATTTCTTCCAATCAGTATTCATTATTTATTGTTAAAATATTTATTATAAATTATTTAATATGGCGTCATGCATATTAAAGTTGCTGCGGTATCTTTAATATAAAAGCTATAAACTAACGATAATTTATACAATTTATCAGTATATAGTAAATATTTAAATACTTTTGAAAAAATTGAGTTATATAATAGTCGTATTGACGTAAAATATTCTTCCAACGTGTAATAAATGAACAATAAAACCGTTTTAATTATTATTAAAACTGAATTTTAATCTCTGCGTACACAATATCTATATTGGGCAATAATATTGTTCAATCTTAAAGGTACCAATTTATCGGAGAATGTGCGTATTACAGACAATTTTTAGGGATATTTTTGATAAATCAATATCATTGCTACGATATTCGGAAAGTATTTCGAAATATTTCGACGTGAACTACGAAAAAATCGGTATCTAAACATCTGAATAATATGATGCGCCTTGTGACCGAGTTCTAATTTACGTCACCTGACGATCACGTTTCCAATCTACACTACAGTATAACTTATATGTCAATACTTATTAATTACTAATCGTAGGTGTAAATTAATAAATAAATACATTTCAGTTAGAAATTGGAGCAACAATTTTTTTTCAACAGATCATTCTAAACCACGGGCTACGCTTGCTGCGATTTGTGTTGATATGATATTAATTATTATAATTTCCTCGAAAATCGCGAGGACCGACAGTCATCTTGCCTCGTAAGGTTCCACGAACGGTCCGGAAATTCGGAATTTTCCCAGTAAATATACACGGCGAACAAGTAATAATGGTGCTTGTCGCTTGCGTAATAGACTGCTAATTGCCAACGCTGTAATTAATACCTACGTGATTCCTGTACATATTTGGATATTTCCACGGCATACTTATACGATCACTGTTTATAGTTGTTCTGTCACGATAAGCAGCGGAACACAGTAGAGCACAAAAAGAGTGCAAAATATTTGCTCTGGGCTTTCCGCCGGTGTTTTTTTTTTACAGCCATCTTCGACCGACCTCATCCGCGTTAAAATTATAAAGCCAATCTGCCAAAACATGTATCGGAGATTCATGGAATTCCGTGCTGACGGCGGCCTCGGTCACTTTACCTGTCGCAAACGCATGTGCAATATCGCATTGCAATTATTATCGTCGACCATTACGGTTTACGATTTCCATAACCGTACGACGGATGCAGTTTACATCTGGAACACAATGTTATGGTGTTGTTAAAGTCGTGGTTTTCCGGTATCCGCACTTTTAAAATGTATATACACGTACCTACCTATAATATAATATTTAGTGATATAATAATATTAACGATGATATTTACTTAATACTTTGTGGCGATCGAATATTGGCTCCAAACGCTGGAGGAGGAGCGGAAAAACTTTTAGTGTTCTATCAAATCAAAGTGTAGTTTGTATTATTCGATAGGCAGTGGTGGATCTAGGATTTTTTTTTGATTGGGGGGGGGGGATATTTTTTTACAATAGTACATATTTTTATAAAAACACTTATTTTAGTATTATAATGGTATTTTAAAATATATTATTAATTACAATGTATTAAAAAATAAGTGTACGCACATAAAAAAGTATAAAATATAAAAATATTTCTGTATAAAAAAAACATAATTAATAGTAGTGTTTCATTAACAAAATTCTAAATGCCCCGAATGTTGTTTTCCAAACAAATCTATAACTTTTTCTGATTTTATATCAATTTAATGATGAATATTTAATAATGATAATCAGAAACCTGGACTTTCGTGATTATAAGTTTTACGTCTCAGTTATATTCTTACTCATCTTATGGGCCATGGGGGGGGGGATTATTATGATCCTCCAACGATGTGGTTCGGTCTTAAAGGTTGAACCTTAAGAACCCCTTAAAAAACGATCACAAGAAGAGTTGTTTTAATATACATTTTGGTCGGAAACACCCTTGTTAATACTTTATTATAAAAAAACTTGAAAAATGCAATATAACATATATCGTAAACACCCTTGTTAATACTTTATTATAAAAAAACTTGAAAAATGCAATATAACATATATCGTAAACATACTCGTATTTAATTTACTCCATTGAGTGGGTCTCAGGCATGACCTGTATAAGAATCACAGAATAATTCAATAACATAACTGCGGATGCCGTTCACCGTGATACGCTCAACAGTTTGTTAGGACTGTCTACGAACTATATCAAACCAGAATATCGTGTAACACAATATCACTTATGAGCACAACATTAAACAATATCATAAACGGTATTATTTGCGTGTTTCTGCATTTATTTTCTTTTTTATGTACCTATTATGATTTTCATTCTCTACATTTTTCATATTTTAATATATCCGAATAGTAATATTATTAATAGGTACACTTAACTTTTCCACCACGTGACCCTGCACGGTCAAGTTTAACGACCACCGGCGATTGACAATTAAAAACAATTATTTAAAATTCTGTCTAAAATATAAGTTAAAAATAAATAAACTTTTTCTAGTGAAAAACATTATAAATAGATACAGGGATAAATTCTTTACACGTGCAATTGCCCTACCGATTAATCCGACGTATTTACGATGTGTACCTAAATTAATGACATCTGAATCGTGTCGCATACCCCGACACAATTAAAATACACTCAAAATGCTTATTGCAGTTTTTTTAAACTTAATTGGAAAATAGAAAACAAAATGCATATTTTTTAAACTTGAGATTTTCTTTTTAGAAAATACTTAGATCATAGATATGCTTTAGTAGAAATTGTACGCTATGAAATTATAAGTACCCAAATATACCTACCTAACAATATATTCTTTTAGTTATAATAAAATTAAATTTACCTCAAAATGTATTTATTTTTTCTCTTATTTTAAAATATGTAGGTACTACATTTTAAAGGTACATTTATTAATTTGTGTTTAAAAATTATTGTTGTTTACAGAAACATTTATTTATTTACGAGTATAGTGTTATTTTCATCATTATTACGTAGGGTTTGATTACTAAAATATTTAAGTATTTATTGTATCATTGTTCACAAAATAAACTATACAGCTCCGAAAGAGCGTTGACACGAAATTTTACTGAACTTCAAATAACATTTATTTATAGTATGTGTGGTGTGTATATTCCCTTGTACATACACGTGGCCTGTACTGGGCTATCATGTGCCTATATATATATAAATAGTATATACTATACTTACATACGACCAATCGATGTAGAGTGTTGCTGCGTAGTATAGTCGTATAATATTATGTCTACATAGAAAAAACTAATCGAATGGTCCTCTCTGTATTTTTTCAAATAATAAGTAAACTAGGAAGTCACTATGCTGTATAGATGTTTTGAGTGTAAGTTGTCTTTGACTAGGTTATTATATATAGCAGTCATTGTATCATATCGGATGGGTTAAATTTGATTCAAATGTTAAATCATTGCATACGAACTGGAGAAACAGAGTGTATTACAATTTCTAAGGACATATTATAATCACCAAAAATTGCATTTAATTTATTTTAATGATATCATATTTAGATGTATTATTTTTATTAACTTCAGTCAATACCGACCGCAAACAAATTTCAAACAGTTAAGTTTTGATTGATTGTAGTTTGCTTAAATTAAAAGGATCTTTTTACAGTTTTTCACTTGGTTTAACATTTTTACGCGCTGTTAGTAATGAAGTATTATGAATTCATATATCTATGTCATAAATAACACATTTATATGATGCGTCATTTAAATAATGATAGGCTTAACTTATACGAATTTAGCTTTTATAATCAGTAATCGGTATAATCGTTTTAATTACACTCTGATAATTACCTTGATTTTTAGTTTGTGAAATGATTTGTTTTTTATTCGAATCTGGGTACGCTGCAGGTGGATTTAAAAAGCACGAAACGCCAACTAATAAACGTTAAATGTTAATCACTTTTATTGTCTCTCAAATGTGGATTAGTAATTAGTAATTACCATTAATGGTATGCTCAGTGTATAGGAAATGTCAATTAGTAATTTAGTAGCCATTATTAACTTTTTTCAAAATCTTAATTACCGAATGGAAATCTTAAGAATGTGTATACTTGCTCCACTAGCGTTGTATTATCTGCTGTTCAAAAAATCGTAGTTTTGGCTCATTTTTCCGGTCGAAATACCGTCAAATTATTGTTACGTTACGCGCATTCTAATAATATTACAATATTATAATATTATCATAATATTACATTTAATCGTAGCAAATCGCATTCCTCCCGGAGTATGACATTAATATTAATATATTTTTCGTCGCACGATATAGGAAACCGCCGAAGCCGCAACCCCAGCAGACACACCGGTTGAATCTGACCGGAGGCGGCGGTCCCCCCCGGAGGAAGACGTCTGGTTACGCGCGGCCACAGTTCGCCGGTCCCATGGAGTTGGAGACGTTGATGGAGGAAGGGGCTTCGCCCGGCCCAGGTAGCCGAGAAGGCGACGCGCTGACGGCGGACGACGGCACTCGTGCATCGCTCTCCAACGGGGACAAAGCTCCGCATCGTCATCGACAACAACAACAACAACAACCACCACCACAACAAGGACAAGAACAACTCAACTCGGCCGCCGCCATGAAATCCAATGCCGAGCGTCCGAGCAGCTCGCTCAACCTTTACCTGGCTGCATGCACGGGTAAGCGCTACGATTTAATAACAATGATATAGGTGTATGTTTATAATATTTATATGTTATTATTTGGTATCTATTAATTCTATTACGTGTAGAAAGGGTCGAGCTTGTATTTTTTTCCGTATCATTTTCATGATGGGCTCTTCTTCGGCAGATCTCTTGATTTTTCACACAGCTGGGTTTTCGATGCTTTCCGTCATTATTTTAAAATTCCGAAGGCATAACTATTTTTAGTTTATTTTAGATTCATTTATTGGAATACGACGTCGAAGATAGTTCAAAATATTTAAAATTAAAATAAACACATCCGATTTTTAGGCTAAAAAAAAATTCTCAATTATTATTTATATTAATATTTATAAGTATAGTTTCTATACTATGAAATATTACATTCCGCTTTAGAGAGGTTTCAAATATTAAACTTATATTATAATATTTTTCCGAAATAAAACATTGTTGGTAACAAAAAATTATATAGCTCCGACAGCAATTTAGAGACATTTTAATTTTATACTCCTCTCACTATTTACATTCTGTTTGAAGTCAATAAATATTATACGGGCTGATATTTCCTACCAATTAAATGAATAATTAGTAAAAAAAATCAACTCGTTAAAAAGTGGATATGATTTTATGAGCAGTAGCTCATGCTGATCTAGAGATGGAATTAAAAACAAAATATAATATTAGTATAACTAAACTCGGGTCGTCAAACGCGTTGTAAAGAACTTCGTACGATACAATTGGTTGGTGTTCCAAAATATAAGTTTTTTTGTGAATTCATCTCGTTCGTAATACATTATATTATTCTTGTTGTTGAATGAGAAAAAAATAATCTCTAGCATTTAATCATTTGACCCTATGGTTTTTTAATACCATTTTTTTTATTCTTAACTATATGTATAAGTACGATATTGTGTTCATGTTAAGGTAAAACAAAATAGTCGGTGCGGAACGTTTCTGGTTGGGTCATTATTTCAAACATATACAAAACGAATTGGTTTCTCAATATAAACGGTTAACTTTCTTTTTGTTCGTTCTCAAATTGTTTTGTTTTATTTATCGGTAAAAAACTAAATAATTATATTATATTATATTAATTCAATGCAAGCAGTGACGATAAGATATGAGATTTTATTTTTCAATTAAATTCTTTCTACTTTAGTTGATCAGCCGTCGAAAAGATGTAAAACTCTAAATCACATATTATAATGTAAAAATATTATTGAAACATTATAGCTATTAACTAATATATGGATGTAGAATGGTAAGCTCTGCAGTGTTTTAAATTATGTTTGTATGTACCATCATAAATTATGCATCTTGATCGGAAACATTTATCTTTCTTTTTATATGCGTTTAGCTCATGGAAAGGAATGTACTGCAAATAACATAGACTTGCATAGTTGCATTAAATCGAAATAAATAATATATATTTTCAATTTTTTATAATTTAGTAATAATGATAATATTTTCAACAACACGTATAGATACACAAAAACTTAATAATATATCTCATTGTTTATAATGATTTATATGTAGGATTTATAAATCTGTGGAACGACATTATTTCAAAACGTGACTGTTAAATTACAATTTGTACCCGACCGATTCGACTATAACTGTTGCACTGTAGTTGTATGTTATACAAAAAAAAAACATCCAGTGGTATGTTAACGTATTGACAGTATAAATGCACTTGTTGCGTAAGCATATCCTGAACGAAGACAAAATTCGCGTATTTTTCTTTCTACTGCAAGTATCTATGAAAGTTGATGTTCCATGTAGATCCATAACTTGGCGAAAAAAGAAATTGTTTTAAATGTATCTTTACAATAAGTTAAATACCAATTATAATATGAACGCGATTGACCCACAACTCACAGTTCCGCGTCGTACTACCTATTTCCGGAGGACATTTTTATCGGCGGGTTATTCAACAATAGTCTTGTAAAGGATACTTGTTAAAAGTATTCAAAAACAGATACAGATACTTATTTCGAAAAGTATTTAAAATATATATTTTAATACTCGATGTTAAAAATATTTGAGAACAAATACTCTTTCAAATACTTCCAAATTGTTTACACAGCATTTTGTTTTACCTTATAAATCAACTGAACTGAATTTTGTTAGTAATTTTATGTTTTACATTAATTTTAAAGATAATTTTATACTGTAAAATGTGGTGTAACTACACATAATTTATCTGTTTACTTTTCTAAGTTATTTTAATATTATTGGTTGGGCATAGATGATAGTCATTTAAAACTAGTTTATTATTATGCATTATACCCAGTTGTCCAGATATTTATAAATAATTATTTTTAAAAATATTATACGATCTCATACTAAGTATATCTAATTATATTTGTTAAATTTGTAATATTTTATACGTATTTTATTTTGTGACTTAAATTCACACATACATTTCTCATACATTAGTTTTTTTTAACATGATTGAATTGAAAATAGAAAATATATAATAAATAATAATATATTAATAAACTAAAAAGAAAAAGTATTTTAAAGTTAGTATTTATTTTAAATTTAAATGAAAATGGTACTTAAACACTATTTGAATACTTTTACTTAAGTACTTAACAAGACCGTCTATAACTTTTAGGGCGGAATTGCGAGCAATACTATCAGACAAATATAAACAAAAACTTTACACGGTGATCGTAATAACTACTATAATAGACCATCAGTAATATAATATGTTGCGTTGTGGTTCGAACGATATAAATGATTATAATATTTGTTCAACCCTTGATGTCTATCTACGTATTATATTTCATTTAAAACATTTAACATCGACGTGCCAGCTATGGCATGCGGTGTTATAAAATATCAAGGTGTATAGGCTTATATATACGTATAAAAATAAAACACATTTTATTATTTTTAATGCTTGGATAGCTCCAAGTTGGGTCGGTTGATTGAAATGATTCGTTTTGTATAATGTATGTGTAGGTAGGTAGGCCTAACTTGTTGTTTTTATCTTCGTAATTTATTACTTTACCAGTTTTTCAAAACGAAACAGGAAATCTACGACAACTGAAAGATATTTTATACGCTGTATTTTCTAAAACGAAAATATGCCTATATAAACTGTAAGACGGCGTCTCCCAAGGTGTAGTCTTTATTTTTGAGTATAGTGGGGAGCGCCGAACGTAGGATTATAAATCTGTATACATATATATATATGTATAAACTGATCACGCTGGGTCACAAAGAGCGCTAAGTATAATATTATAAAAAAAGAAATCGTAAAATCTTATTCGTTGTCCTTTGTATTATAATATTATATATACATCTCACTGGACCTTCCAAAATGAAAACAAGATTATTCGTCCGTTTAGACCTTATATTTTCTATACACTTAAAACGTATTCGTGTTGATACAGTAGGTATACCGAAACTTACACAGTTATACCTGCATCATGGGCATAATATAGTTTAGTTTATGGTAAAAGTTGTAAAATTAGTAAAACGTCCATGAATTTATTAAGCTCGTTTAAATACTCTAACTATAAAATAATATTATAAACGTTTTGAATTATTAAATTATTTTACTACTCTTGTAAATAATATATTATAATAATTCGGTCATTCGACATCATTGAAACCATATAAGGTGCAGTCAGTGCAGTAGTTATGTCGATTATACAATTAATTTTAACGATATTAATTTAAATTTTGAATGGACAATGGTATAAGCGAAAATAACAGATGCAATAATACAATTATTATAATAATAAATCAAAAATCAAGATGAGCGTTGCTATTTTTTAAATATACTTGCACTACGTAGCATTATTATATTAACAAGTATTACATAGCTCTAATTTAACTTTATTTTTAATGCACTACATACAACAATTATTGTAATACACCATAATAAACATTTGATAGTGTTGTAGTGTTATAAAATAATGTACAATCCTAATTTTGATGTTATGCAATTTAAATCATTAGTATTTTCATTTTTTATTTTACTTCCTGTACTATTTTATATTTTACGACTTAACGTTGTTACGTTAAACAATAATTGAATAATGTTTCCATGAAATTATTATAATATGAAAACAGAAAATTGTTCTGAAAAGTTCGGAATTTTCTGAGTTATAAGATATAAATCCATATTGGATATTTCGTTGGTTGTGGTTTTTATTTTTAATTAGATAAAACTTTTTTTTTTTGTATTAGAACTTCTTATTTTTAATTTGGCGACTTATTTCTTGCATACTTAAAACATTTGATAGGCAATGATGTTATTCATTAATTCGATAACCCGTTGATTGACGTAGGTAATAAGCATAATATATATATGTTCATTATAATCTCTCATCGAAAAATATTCGCTATAAAAAAACTTAATTATTACTGTTATAGAATTATCTGATTTTTAGTTTTAAATAATATTATATTGATCATGTTTGATGAACACAAAAAAAAATCATTTCATTTTAATCAAATGTTATTAATAGGTGCTATTAAACGTAACTAAAAAATTATTTTACGCCAATACTTTATGATATATAGGGTAATTCACCAAGTATTCTGGCCCCTTATTTCTTCAATCATTGAAGTATCAGAATCAAAATTCTTACTAGTAGTTTTTGTGTTATTTAACTTTGTGTTCTAAGGATAAAAGGCCCATAGTAATGGCCTTATAAGATAGCGGAGGCTATGGTGGTTTGAATATTTTAGTCATTAATATAAATTTATCTACATTAATGATTTGTGAAAATGGCAGAAGTATAATAAAATAATAAATACTAGGTCCAATATTATGTCTATTTTATATTTTTGTAAAACTATTTTTAAGGACTATTATCCTTAGTAAAAACATTTTAATAACTAAGAAACTACTCATTAGAATTGTGGATTAGGCACATCCCCTATATAATTTACAGTAAAAAAGGGGGGTTCTCATTTGAAAAACAGAAGTTTGTTACAAGACACTGCTTAAATAGTATAAAAATATTCAAGATATAAAAAAGTGCCTTGAAGCCTAGGTACTTAAAAATTCCAAAAATCAGAATTCAAATAAATTCATTATAAAAGGAAAAAATGGGGATGAGCATGCTAGGTGAATAACTCTGTATAGTTAGCTAATGCACCATCTTCAAATAATTTTTAAAATATATCTTAACGAAATAATGTATTATCCAACTCATCGAATATAAATAAATTGTTCAGAAATTCGACACATACAGGTACTGCAAGCACGAAACACGAGTCATAATATTTATAGTAATATATTAATTCCAGATTTGTGTACCAAACGGAAATCAAACATTAATTTAACAAATATTGAAATATTATACATACTAAATAATAATTACATGCCCTGACATAATATTTTAAACTGCTTTATACTAAACTGTATGAACTATGAGTACACAATACTGTATGATACCCGTTACGTCAACTAAAATATGTTTACAACAAATTGCGAGTACTATATAATACGTCTATAACAAAAATGGTTGCATACGTTATGTTTGGGCATAATATTAAATGGATTAGTATATATTTTATTATCATCTAATAGGCATTTTATTATAAAAATTGCACGTAATTACTAATTATTATTGATATAACTATGATTTTAATATAAAGCGTAATATATTACGATTATTATTAACTCAGTACTATAATATGATTAAAAGAAATGCTTATTGCGTATAGGTGAGACTTACAATTTATTTATTAGTGCTGTAAAATGTGTAACCTTAGGTAAACTATTTGTTAATAATAATACAAACATATATTCTAATGCAAACAAATAGTGTTTTATAATATCGGGCGATTGAAATAATCTGTTTTAGGCGCATTATTAAAAGTTAATACTTGGTATTATAATCATAATAATATGATTGTGTTGTGCGTTTTATCTCTAACGTTAGAGCCAATTTTTTTTATTACAAATAAAAAATAAATATAGCTACATGCCTACATATTATATTATGTAATAGCTGGACAACGCGAATTTTATCTAAATATATAAATACCTATCTACATAATCGTGTTCAATTCTCGAACGGAATTTAGACATTTTAGATTTCTGGATAAAGTACGGCAAAAGTTATAAGTTATACATTGTATTGGTACAGTGTAGTGGATATTATAGTATGAAGGTAACCCGGAAAAAATACTTTAAAAGTTTGACGACACTCATAATCTACCCCAAGACCACGGCACATTTAAATTCGAGAACTTCTTCGCGATAGTATACCACTGGCGATTATCTGAGTTGTTGTTTTTAAGGTTATCCATAGGTTTATGATTGCATAGCGTGCTGTGGTTGATCTAAAGAGAAAGGGTTAGTAAGAATGTAAGAAAGAGGAAGTGAGAGGGATGTTTTCTCGATCGTCTCCCATAATATTATAATAATAATATTTACATTATATGTTATATACATACATCTTTCACTGCAATAGACATTTAAACGGTTATTTTCGTCACCTGTTCCCAGTTCATGAAGCAATAGAATAGTCCGTGATCGTCAGATTAAAGTTGTCAATGCGATAATATACGTAAAACGACGAATGTTGGGAATGTGGCAATTTTCGTGTTTAAATCATTCATATCTTTTAGATGGTATCCCATAGTGTGATCCACATGAAACAGCTGAGAATCTAAAATTTCGGTTCCATATTATAATATAGCAGTATACTTATAGTATACTTATAGCATTAGTAGCATACAATTTATACATAGATTTAAATAAAAGCAATACAATTCGTAAACTAGCGTAATATATTGGTTTTGACAAAAACCGTAAACATCCCAATTTCGTTATCCTGAATACGTGACGATTGACCAAAACCGTACACTAATAAACACTCGTTACAGGCTAAGAGAATGCAAATTAAAACAGATAATTGCCAGTGTGGAAAAATAATAAATACATTTATTTCATTGTAAAGCCACACGCCTAGACGATACGAGCTGTATACCTGATATAATGCAATGGCCTTTATTTAGCTGACGTTATTTTGTCATTGGCTCGTTATTGGACATAAAGAGTAATCGGTTATTAAAATGAAAAGGAATGTCGCTGACAGTGTAGATAAAGTTAGCCGAACACACGTTACACTAAAATAGTAATAATAATAATAAACAAATAACAAGGTCGGATAAAAAAAAAATTCGAATTCCATCAGACGCTGACAGTAGGTAAACGATTTCTATCAAATAAATATAACAACTACAATAGTGGTGTATTTAGGATTTTCCTTTAAGGAGGTATGTACCTCAGATCACTGAACTCGTGGAGAAGAAGACTAGGAGTATGTATATATCCAGAGCTAAATTACTTAGGGGAGGGGAGGGCTTCGTAAGTTGCTTTGAAATTGTGGTACCCAAATACATATTATAATTACATATTATGCATTGATGATTTAAAAATAAATATTTCAATAAGACTTTTTCAGCTTGCATTATCATAAATGTCAAAATCATAATATATATGTAGTATGTATTAGTTATCTGTGAGGTTAAATATTTTTGCTAATAAATTTACAAAAGTATGTGATATTTTACCATTATAAATTTAAAACTATTATATTATTTTTAGTTATTTATGGTTATTACTCATAGCGCATAGTCATTAGAATTGTCGTTCGGACAAAATCCAACTTTCCAATAAACTTTAGCTCATATAATTTTTAGACTCAACTCATCAATGACCAAATCTGGGATGACTATTTTGATATTCTGGTGACACACCTTTAAATACACCTTTGGTGCAAACCCTGACTATTCTTGACCAGTGCGTGATTTTTCGGCTTGTGAGAACATAACTATTATAACTATACTTTATTACAATAGTTCCTATTTCTGATAATAAACTGTCGATTTTTGATTACTTGAATCTCAAGGAAAATAAAAATAAATTCGACTTATGTACCTTAATTTTTGAGTTATATACCTAAAATATAACTTAAAAAACATTTCAAGGTGCAAGCAAAAAATTCGAGTTATCGAGGTTTATTGTTTTGAATTTAGATAAGTATTAAAATATCTATCAAGTTGGTATGTTTTCTAGATTTAGACTTTAAGATTCGTGCTCTAAAGCTAGGATAGATATCATCACTATTATCAGTATGTTTGTAGTCTCATCGATAATTATAATATCAAACAATATGTCATGAATACAGTTTTCAACCTGTAATCGAGTACCTATACTTTAGGTTATACCTACGGTTAAACTTTAACTTATTGGCTATTAATCTCGGAACTCTAACGAATCGAACCTTTCGTAAACCTCATTGACAAGTCACAACGTGTTATTTGTTTATTAATTTACGGAATAAAAAATTCCTTATTTAGTACAGCAAACAACAATAATACAGTAATTGAACATAATTAATACATATAAGGGACGATAACCCAAAAGTATAGTAAATTTACAAGTACAATAATTAATATAAATTATAATATTATAAACTGATTATTGTATATTTTATAATATTAATAGTTTCTGGCGATATAAAAATAATATGTACTTTGTAGTTTGTTTTATCTATGACGAATCCATCCTTATTTTATCGTTTTTCAACCCCATTTCTCGTTATGAAAGCAATTATGAAGCAGGCTCGGAAATCAGTTTAAGAAAACACGGGTTTTTGTTGTGTCCGTCTTAAAAGTGCATAACATGGTAAATGTATGCACAACAGCTGATCACGTTTAGCTTCATTAGTTTAAAAACTAGAGTGAATCGCCCTATTATGCATCTTGTTGAACATTATCTGTGTTTGTAAAAAAGACATTTTGGGTTGGACTCAATGGGGTCGCCACTATAATAAAATATTATTATTATTATATACCTATATCACATATTTTATGTACCTACTTACCGTAATCGTGTGTCTCGCTTTTGCAGTGAACATGGGAGCGCTGGCTGCAGGCTGCGCACTCACGTGGTCGTCACCGACTCTGGTGAAGCTTCTAAACGGCGACAACGGCATGACAATCACAAAAGACGAATCCTCCTGGGTGGGCTCGCTGGTGACGCTAGGCGCAGCCATCGGACCAATCCTTGCCGGAGTCCTGCTGGACCGGTTGGGTCGCAAGTCTACGATTCTTTTGAGCATGATACTGTCGGCGATCTCATGGATCATCATCGGCGTGGTCCCCGGCCTCATTTCGCTGTACGTGGCTCGGGTGTTGGCGGGTATCGCCGTCGGTGTCATTTTTACCGCCGTGCCAATGTACATCGCAGAAATAGCAGAGGTATATTATATTACACACACACGCACACACATACCAGTATGTGCGTTAAATACATGTATAATAGTTATCTATGTATCGTTGACGCCTTAGCGGCTGTACTGCCAAGTCAATTGAATCGCGTTGAAACATTGTTATACTCGATGGATTTCTTTCTCGCATTAATATCTAGGATATAACAATGTTCACAGAACATCACACTAATATATGTATGTAATTTTTACAAATGATGTTAAAATGTCTATTTATCATAACCCAAAGTATAGGTGTTATAATGTATACATATTATTACTTAATTGGCGTAATTGCCATTATATATCTACGCAAGTATGATACAGTATTATGCATTGTATTTAATAAAGTACTCGGTGCTATTGATCATTGACAGACGATTGCGGGAAAATCGCTAACAACTAAACTAATATAATATCGATTGTGAGAGTATGAGGAACGCTATCACGTCTGTCAAAATCAAGATGTGTCTATGTTTAAAAAATATATTGTTCAATAGTCATTGACATAACTCTTAATCATGTCCAAATAAATAATAAAATATAAAATAAGGTTTAAGAAAAAAAGATTATATTAAGGAAAATGAATTTTATGCAATTCACGAACAAGTAAAAAAAATAGTCCATATTATAGAGTAGTAAAATGTCATTTTCACTAAATGTGTAATGTCCATTTCATTAAATTAGTGATTTCACTAAGTGGATGCAAACATATGTATACTATTATGTATTATAATTAATATATAAGTATAAATTAACTATATAAATAAATCATTTTCTACCTAAAGACATATAATTAATTATTACGTAGATACCACGTGTGAATACGTGTTTATAGGAAGCTGATAAAATACCTTGAAAGCAATGAATTGGGTTAATATATTTTTTATTTCATGAAATATCTTAAAAACTATTGGTACTTATAAATATACCACACGTTTTTTAAAAAGCTTTGACTATTTACCATATTTTAAATCTATTCTTATACATTTTCTGTGTCACGAATTTAATTAATTGATAACCTATACAATAAACATATTTTTTGTAAATAAGATGATTACAATTTTTATTAGTAGGTTCCTAATACAAATAAGAATTGACTTCACGAATGTGAAAATTTTAATAAAAAATTGTTTATATATTAATTTCGAATTACACAAAAATAATGTAATATATTATTAGCAGCATACTTTATTGCTGCCGTGTACTTGAATAATATTACAGAAAATAACAAATTATTATTATAAGATCGTAACCTCGTATACCTATTAACCTATTCGATTTCAGTTTCCGATAACAAGGTTCATTTTTAACAGATTTAATACCTACTAAAAACTGCTTGGAATCGTTTACATAATATTACGATCTTGATAAAAATTCATTTTATAGGCTCATTCGTACTAATATAAACTATATACAAACTAAGCCGTCTTACAGTAATTACTGTGATACAAATTAGGCAGTGCTCACCTTATAGACATAATATATCGCAGTAGTTGACATTGTGAATCCCGTTCGACTGCTATATAAAATGTATTTATGTATGTGCGTTACATAATATTATATTACATGGAATTATCGTCGATTGGTGATCTATGAATGTCGCTATGTATGTTTAGGATTATGCATAATATCGTATTATTATTATTTAGATACGTTTGAGATCGTCGTTGGGCACACTGATGCAGTTCTTCTTGGTCGTCGGATTCTTGCTCGAATACATTGTCGGGCCGTACACGTCTTACTTGACGTTGGTCATCGTGTCCCTGGCGACACCCGTCCTGTGTTTCGGCATGTTCGTTTGGATGCCGGACTCTCCACAGTCGCTGTTAATACGGCCCGGAGGAGAGCAAAAGGCCATGGAATCGTTGAGGTGGTTGCGTGGTAACCCACAAGAGACGGCTCTGATCAAAGAGCTCGAAGAGATCAAGGTACGCACCTACAACTTACACATTATCCCTCCTTGATATTATTATGACGCATGTACCGTCACTGGATACGCTGTTTGACGATTTTTTTTTTAATAGAAAGCCAGAAAGGGCCCAATAGTCAAAAGTTTGACTCAAAACCATGTGCAATGTATAAAAAACACAATTTTTTCTTGTATTTTTAATATTTTTAAAATCAATTTCGAATTAGGTATAATGTTTCTGTATTTTGATATATTTTTAATTCGTCCCAAATATTATTTATTATTTATAAACCATTATATTATTATTATATTATAGTAGTATATACTAGATAAATTTGATAAAATATTATGTAATGTAATATTCACCATTAATTGTGTTGTTCATTTCATTTCATTACATTATGTATATTATTCTGTGTACCATCAGCTCAGAACATTTCGAGCCGTCACTGAACTATACATATATCTTATAATATTCAATCCTTATTTTATAAAAGCCGTCCAAATGTCCAAATATATACTTATATAGCATCTTATATGTGTATAGGTCACGAGTGTTGATTTCCCAATAAAAAAAAACCCATAGAAAAACCCTCTTAAAATATTTAAAAAAAGTAAACTCTTAATATCGTTTACACTTTCAGAATATTGTGGACTGAATAGCAGAAAAATAATAAATAATAAATATTAATTTGTGGTTTGCATTACAGAAATCCGTTGACGATGCGAAGAAAGAAAAATCTAGTTTTGGTGAACTGTTCGCCAACAGGGGCAACATCAAGGCGGTGATCATATCCTGCGCCATGGTAGCGTGGCAGCAGCTCAGCGGCATCAATGTGGTGCTGCTGTACAGCGAACAAATTTTCTTGAAGACCGGCGTCGAACTGTCTGCCAGCGTGTCCACAATTGCCGTCGGGACGGTGATGTTGTTCGCTGCCGCTGTGACGCCATCCTTGGCTAAGATCACTACGATGAGAACGTTGCTGTACATTTCGGCTATTGGAATGGCTATTACCGACGTAAGTATGAAATTATATTTTAATATTTTAGAGACTTCTCAACAGCGGTAATACCTATATAATAATATATACATGTTCGTTATATTTTAAAATACTATTTTGAACGCTAGTCATTCAACTATGTATGTTGTTCACCTCGTTTTTTGAAATATTATTCACTTACCTACTCTTTCAGTGTACATCATATTACTATACATTATAAATTTTTATAAAAATATTCACAAACATTTTTCTATAATGTTACTGCAGGGAACGCTTGGCCTGTTTTTCTACTTACAAGAATCAAATCGTGATGTGAGCTCTATCGGATGGTTACCGGTCACAAGTTTGGTGCTTTTCATCATCACTTATTGTCTCGGTAAGTTCTATTTACATATGATACTACCTAGTATCTACTTGATATTGACTACTTATACAAAGTTGTATGGTTTAAAATATAGTATGCCTATAATATACCCGATGAATACAAATTACTCAAATCAATTGCATATTGAAACTATTTGCAGGTTTCGGTCCGCTGCCATGGGCCATTATGGGAGAGATATTCCCAGCCAATCTTAAGTCTGTGGCTTCAGCTTTAACCGCCAGTTTCTGCTGGTTTCTAGGCTTCATATTGACGAAGTTATTTAGTGCGGTGTCTGATGCCATCGGCATACATTCTGTATTTTGGATATTTTCCGTGTGCTGCATATTGGCGCTGTTGTTTACTAAGTTTTTGTTGCCACAAACCGAAGGCAAAACACTTCAAGAAATCCAGGACATACTGCACGGTAGAAATAAGTCCTCGGACCACAAAATGACCAGAGCATGATACATGATACAATTTTGTACAAAATTGACTGATTATTTTTCATTTGATTAAAACTTCTCTAAATTGTCTACACTATATTTATATTTGTGAAATAAAATATTTCATAAATATAAATATATGTGAAAGACAACAGCCAATATATTAATTATCGTTAGTCTTAAAACCAGATATTAAGTACACAATATATACGTTAATACGATTCAAAAATCAATGCTGTAAATTTTGTACTCAATATTTTTATTTTTTTTTATATTATATCATGAAGACTTTATTTATACATTATTTGTTTATTATAAAAATATTATTAATATTTAAAAGAAACTTATCACACACCACTAATTCCATCAAACACGAACACTCGTGGTAGGTGCACTTTCATCATTATAGTTTACGATTTTATGCGTAAAATAAGTATATATTTTGGCACACTATTGAATAACATTATAAAATGTATACCAATAATATGTAAATTCATTTTATTTTCATTTGTTAAAATCAAAGAGTAAAAATATTTTTGTAGCATTTGTTGAATATATTATAATTTTTTAAGTATTTATGGTGCATTATAATATTTTCAAAACTGCCAAGAAGCTAGGTCGGTATTCAAAACTACATTATCGGACAAAGAAAGAAAAACTAAAAAAAAATATGTATCCAAATATCATCGCTCATGCATATTTTACCACTGTAAAATATTTATTTCATGTCTAATATTATTATTTACTTTAATATATTAATGTACCTGCCTAAAAAGACAATAAACAACTATTTTTTAAGCAGTTAATTAGACATATCTAAATGCTTTAGGTGTATGCCTTCTGTTTACCTACTTATATGGTTATGATAGCTATGTATCAATATAAAATTTACTTAAAAGCTAATTTTAAATGCATATTAGTATATAATATTTTGCATGTGCACATATATCTACTTTATACGATGCCTACTACAATCAATAACAACCTTTTATATTTCTTACTTATATGTTACACCAATTATACCGCTACCTATTCCAAAAAATGGCCTAATTTTTGGGTCGACTTACCCCCTAACTGTTAGGCCCGAACAAAGTTGAGTAGTGTACCTACTTAACTGAAATGCTACTAAGCAACATAATTCTATCATAAAATATATTTCTGTTCTAACTAAACATGATTATTTATTGTTGAATTTATTTTTAATATTCAAATAAGTTCTATAAAACTATTATATAAGAACATATTATTAGGTACGTAAGGTACGTTCATTAATTTACAGCACTTCATAAATTTGGATCAAACAACCCAAAGTGCCGATTTTGGTATTATGCTATTGTAAATTGTATTACATTATCATCAAAAATGGGTATTTATTTAGCGATTTAAATGTGAAATATTTTTAAGATTGAGTCAATAATAATTACACAATTAAATTAAATTATTAAAAAAAATAATGATCCAAATTACAAATATTCTATTGTACTGGATTTTCAGAGTCAAATATCAAGTTTACAGTACCAATTGTAAGTAGTTACTACTCTACTTTAAAGGACTAAAAGAACTAAATACTAAAAGTTAATACTAGCTACACACGTAGCTAGTGCTAGGCAATCAGCCGATTTTATATACAATTTGAAATAACGTCCCGATATAAACATTAAACGATTTAAGATTGAACGATTTCGATTGATCTATAGTACAACTACAGCCGTAGTCATTCTTTCAATAGCGCTGTTAACAGTTATCCTTATCACGGGCCAAAATGAACAAACCCTCGGGGCTAATGAATTTTAAGAATAAAAAAAAAAAAAACAAAAACTCAAATAGGATACAATTTTAAAAATAAAAATGGAAAGGGGGTCATGGGCACCCGCAGGCAAATGTGTTTTGAGAATCAAAAAAAATAAAATATGAAAAAAGTTGCATTAAAAACAAACATTAAAGACTGCAGTCTATAATATCAGTATTCTTAAACTCATAGATTTATTTTCAATAATTACAACATGAAACAATGCATTTTTATAAGGTATTAACTTGTTATCAAAATTTAAAACATTTTTTTAAAAAATTGAAGTAGAGATAAATTATAGAAAAAAAATTGGAAGGGGATCATGGGTGCCCGCAGGCAAATTAATTTTAAGAATCAAAAAAAAATAAAAATATGAAAAAATCAAATAGGATTCAATTTTAAAAATAAAAATAGGAAGGGGGTCATGGGTTTCCGCAGGTAAATTAATTTTAAGAATCAAAAAAAAAAAAAAAATATGAAAAAATCAAAATAGGATTCAATTTTAAAAATAAAAATGGAAAGGGGTCATGGGCACCCGCAGGCAAATGTGTTTTGAGAATCAAAAAAAATAAAAATATGAAAAAAGTTGCATTAAAAACAAACATAAAAGACTGCAGTCAATAATATCAGTATACCTAAACTCATAGCGTTATTAACAAAAATTAATTCATGAGAAAATGAATATGTATAAAAGGCACCAGCTGGTTTTCAAAATCTAAAAATGGTATTTAAAAGTCATCGAGAATTCTATTTTAAAAATAAAAATGGAAGGGGGTCATTTGTTCCCGCAGATAAATTAATTTTAAGAATCAAAAAATAAATAAAAATATGAAAAAATCAAAGAGGATTCAATTTTAAAAATAAAAATAGGAAGGGGGTCATGGGCACCCGCAGGCAAATGTGTTTTGAGAATCATAGAAAATAAAAAAATATGATCAAAGTAGCATTAAAAACAAACATTAAAGACAGCAGCCTATAATATAAGTATACCTAAATTCATAGTTTTATTTTCAATAATTAGTACATGAAACAATGCATTTTTATCGGGTACTAACTTGTTATCAAAATTTAAAAAATGTTTTTAAAAAATTGAACTAGAGTTAAATTATAGGAAAAAAAATTGGAAGGGGATCATGGGCGCCTGCAGGCAAATGTGTTTTGAGAATCAAAAAAAAATAAAAATATGAAAAAAGTTGCATTTAAAACAAACATTAAAGACTGCAGTCAATAATATCAGTATACCTAAACTCATAGCGTTATTAACAAAAATTATTCCATGAGAAAATGAATATGTATAAAAGGCACCAGCTGGTTTTTAAAATCTAAAAATGGTATTTAAAAGTCATCGAGAATTCAATTTTAAAAATAAAAATGGGAAGGGGGTCATGGGTTTCCGCAGGTAAATTAATTTTAAGAATCAAAAAAAAATAAAAATATGAAAAAATCAAAGAGGATTCAATTTTAAAAGTAAAAATGAGAAGGGGGTCATGGGCGCCCGCAGGCAAATGCGTTTGGAGAATCAAAAAAAAAAAATATATATATGAAAAAATCAAAGAGGCATCAATTTTAAAACTAAAAATGAGAAGGGGGTCTGGGCGCCCGCAGGCAAATGCGTTTGGAGAATCAAAAAAAATAAAAATATGAAAAAAGTTGCATTAAAAACAAACATTAAAGACTGCAGCCTATAATATAAGTATACCTAAACTCATAGTTTTATTTTCAATAAATAGTACATGAAACAATGCATTTTTATAGGGTACTAACTTGTTATCAAAATTTAAAAAATGTTTTTAAAAAATTGAACTAGAGTTAAATTATAGAAAAAAAATGGAATGGGGTCTTGGGCGCCCGCAGGCAAATGTGTTTTTAGAATCAAAATAAAAAAGTTTAAGGAAAATAGTAAAAAAATATGATCAGAATTTTATCGACTTTACCTCAGTACAATAAAATAATGTGTTAATTGAATGAAAGTTGTTATGGATACAAGAAATTAATGTTCTCTTTTAAGTTAAAGCATTATTTTTCTTAAATAATTTAACGTTGAATTAAAATTATATTGTTTTTCAAACTGTAACTAGCATACATTTTGAAAAAGTATACAAAAAATTCAAATATAAGAATATTTAAAATTTTTTTTGTTTGTATTAAATGTGTTAGAAAAAATAGATTAATTGCAATATCGATTGAAGTGAGGAGAAAATATATTTTGAATTCTAAGACAATATAATTTTAATTCACTAAACCATATTTTAAATTAAAACTTATGAATAAATAAATACTGAAGACCTTACAATAACTTCTCATACCGTCAACTCTCATTATTTCTTAATAATTTGTTTGTTATGTTTTTTGATATATTAGACTTTTTAAATCAGTTTTTATAATTTTTTGTGATAGACAAATTACTAATTAGTGTTGACTGTATTTAAGTTATTATCATTCATAAGTACTGGTACAACGCTAGCCGACTGGCTTTAAAACTGTGGATACAAATTATGATACTTAATTAGGTTCTAATTTCTATTGATAATATTTAAATATTTTCTTTTATTGTTATGCTTATACAATATCGAATACCTTGGTAGTTAGTAGGAAAAGATCATTGCAATGCACTCGACCAGGGAAGATAATATACTACCGCTAGCCTACTATCATCACCACAGCTTCAACTATCCATAGTCCTTAGGCGTACTAACCTTTTTATGACTTATGTAACCCTCTGTTTTAACACCATAGTCGCGCGAGTTTTGCAGTGTGGGGGGTGCTAGTTTAATCACCCCCGTTAGGCGCGCGACTAACAGAGGGTTAAGTGGGACCCTTAGAATAAAAAGATCTTTATTTGGTTTTCTATTTTAGTGTCCGCTTATCAAGTTGAACTTTTTTTTTATTTTATGATATATACAGCCGAAGCAATGGCAATATCATTTGCCCTAGACCACATTAAAACAAATTGCATACATAAAGCAGTAATCCTTAGCGACTCACTTAGTACCTTGAGGAGTATTGAAAACATCTCCAGTCCAAATGAGATCGCCAGAAAAATCCAGAACCAAATCTACAACCTTACACACACCGGCTACTCAATTACCTTAATATGGATACCCAGTCACAATCAAATTCCGGGAAACGAAAGGGCTGACGAAAAAGCACGCCAAGCAATAAACTCTACTAATGCAATTAGACTTAATTATTTTACCCTACACGACGCCAAATTCATAACCAAAATAATATCAAACAACATATGGCAACGGGCATGGACACAAGGTACCTCAAAATTAACACATGGCCCTCTCCACCAGACTTCTCAAGAAAAATGGAACCACGATCAATAGAATTCGTATAGGACACACATCGATAACACATCAGTGTCTGATGAAGCCAGTTTCACCGACCAACGTCATTTTTCCACCAGCACACCGCCGATCGAGTAGCGTCCCTGCTGATGCCATAGTCGAGCCGTTCATGCACGGTCGCAACGCTGGTTATCACCGTACCTCTGATCGCGTCGCGTTCCGTGGATGCACGCCGCCACCAGAGCAGAGCAAACCACCACGAAAAACCCGAAACATAACCGTGATTCTTATGTTCACATTCCCCCCGTATGGTATGCAAACCCGAATAAACTATTTTGAATGTAAGAGCATAAAGTATAAATCTAAATACTGTAAACCAAATAATATTCATTTGTTTGT